GCCCCATTGCCTCATGTATACCGAGTGCTCGTTCGGCGGCCTCGTCCGGATATCGAGTCGGCTTTATAGCCATCTTCGCTAGTTGGTTTCATCTCTCTTTTTGCTAGTCGTGCTCCAATGTAACTCCTAACTCGCTTTCGGGAGTCGGATTGACCTCGACTTCTTCACGCGGCCAAATGTGAAGAAGTTACATTGGAGTCGAGGTCAATCCGCGTTAATGTTAGATTATTTTGCAATCATTCATTAGTTTAGAATTAAATCATCATTCAAATTTGAGTTAGTCTAAATAATATTTAATTGTCTACATTTTGATAATTAATTATTTTAGCAACAATCTCTGTGGAATACGACATTGCTCGCCGTTTACTGTAGCTACACTAGTAGTGAAAATATTTTGCTAACATCGAGGTTATTTTTTTTTCTTGATTTAGTATTAATAGTCGGATTTTATTTTAAAAATTTTATTTTGAAAATTGGATAATGGCTAGTACGAATAATGATGAAGTATTATGTTTTGAGAGGCTCTGCGAAATTTTGAAGAAGAGGGCTACGACGAGGAGGCTCTGCAGAATTAGTTTTTGAGAGTTTTTTTAGAGAGACGAGCGCTTCTCTCTCTCAAATATTCAATTTTGAGAAATTGGAGATAGATGATTAATGTCGCGTAAAGCTTAACTTATGACATTTTTGTTTTGTTTTTTTTTTTTGTTTTTTTTTTTTAAAGAGTGGGCCATGGTGAGAAAAGAGGATTGAACAAGACAAAAGAAAAAGAATTGGACCAAATTTGTTGAATACACGGACTTAAATTGAATTGTTGAATGCTATTTCTTATATTAATACTAATTGTGCGATTGAAGAGTATTTAAGTTAATTTATTTTATTATGTATTTTGTATATAAATTATATATATTTTTTTATTTATATACGACTTGCTCGAATTACCTATGCTATACGATACGCTATCTACGCTACGTAATGTTGAGACAAAAAACGCGATGGATAACAGAATACGCCTTTTAAAACTGCAAATGACTGTAAATGCAGCATAATATTAAATCACAATACCAAAAGGCGAAAAGTTGAAGCCTTGGGACTAAAATTGCTTATGGAGTTAAACCAAGACTAAAAAAATGCATTTTTGAGGTATTTGCTGAAAAATTAGTCTACTCACAAAACTACTCAACTATCTTGCAAATGTTCTAATATTCCAGTTAAATGTCTTCATATAACTTCTTCACATTTTATTAATTAAGGAATATAGTGATTTTGAGGAATTTTGGTTATTTTTCTAGTTGTTGTAGTTAGGC